GTTTTTTTTTTTTTTTTTTTTTTACAATATGCTCGCTATTTTCAAAGGGACATCGATCGAAACGAAAGCAAGAAATAAAAGTAAGAAAAATCGAAACGTAATTTATAAACAAAAAAAAAAACAAAAAAAAGAAAAGAATTAAAATTATTCGAATTATTCATCGCGTCGAGAATAAAAAAAAAAAGAAAAAGATTTTTCCCCGAGGAAAAAGCATTTAAAAGCGAGATTGCGAAATACGGTGGCGTTAATGAAAATTTCAGGTTAACAATCCGTACGACAGTAGGCTCGAGCTTAGCGGTAAGTTGACTCGTTAAGAGAGTAGTGAAGGTTGGGTTACAAGTGGGTTTTTACTCACCTGAATTTATCGGGACCTCGGTGGTGGTGTTGGCAGTCCCGTTTTGGCCGGGACTTCGCGAACTCGAGGTTCTACCCAAAGGCTCCATCCGGATCGCCTCGCTGCTTTCTCGCGTCGAAGTTCCCCCTGGCATTTTCCTTTCTCCTCTTCCCCCTCCGCCTCCCTTTTTATCCGGTAACCTCGCACCGCGTCCACTTTCGAGCGGAACGTACACCCTTCCTCCTTCGCTCCACGCGAATCACATTCTTCCACCTTGATTTCGACGCTTTTCAACAACGATCCACTTTTGTCCCCTTCTTCCCTTTCATTCGTGTCAACGGATCGAGAGATTTTCATCCGACTACGGCCAACTTTCATTCGTTCGAACGCAACTCGCTTCCTCACTTTTCACCAACCTTTCGCTCCTATATCTACGTTCGATGTTCCACATTCTTCGTTACGTTTATACTTTATATTTATCTTTTCGTGGTAGACGGATATCACTCAAGGCGAACATTGGTCCCAATCGCGAAACTTTGGTAAAAAAAATCCAAATTTATATAAAACGATATTTCTTTCTTTCTTTCTTTCTTTTTTCTTTTTTTTTTTTTTTTTTAAATCTCGTATAAATACTGTCGTTTTGTAAAAGGGATCGATTCGTTTTTAATTATTACGTCCACTCGCTCGGGCAGTGCACATGTACGAATCGTGGTCGAGCGATCAATAACATTATCAATTACAATTACACTAATAATTTTCGTATAGCTTGTCGCGTAAATATATGTAAATATCTATGCTTTTTAACGTAAAAAGACAAAGTACACTAATCTTGATAAATTACTTCTATTCGATACGTACGTAAAGTTTAGTCGTATTTTTAAAAAATATAAGCGAGCGAATATAAGGCAAAGTTGCAAATTAAAATAATTCGTGGCATTACGTATATATGTTTCTATAAACAAATAGCAATGTATGTTTTTATTTCGTTCTCTTATATGTTTCTTTTTATTATTATTATTATAATATCGTAAGATATTTCCTCGGCGTATTGTTAAACGCGATACCTGGAACAAAATACAAAACACGATAATGTTTCGATATAAAGAAAATTCAAAAAGAGTAATTTGAGAGATAAAAAAAAAATCGAACTTTTATTACGCGTAAGTATATTAGGGTATACACAGGATCGTTTAGGAAATAAGCAATAATCGTAATCTGGCGATAGGTATATCGCAATTTCCATTTATTCGTTCGGCCGCAAAATGAGAGATCCGTGAGAGAATGTATTAATTTTTAATAATCCGCTCGGAGTGAATTTAACGGAAGAACGAAATGACGCGCCATATATATAATATATCATATATAATAACATATATGAAACAACAATTGTCGATCGCTTTACGATTTGCCGCCAATTACAACCCCTTTCTCGTTCTGTTCGAGAATAGAATAGTTCTAGAGCCTAATAATACACTCGAATAACGAATTGTATTTCGTTTATTTCGAATCGATGATAAAATAACGTTTATAAATTGTTATTGATTTTATCAGGTTTATAACGTGTAGAAAACAATGTGGGTGTATAGGTCGGATCGCACGTTGTATATATACATTCAAAGCATATTTTATAAAGTTATTTCTGTAACGACAACAAAGTTGTTAATTATATGCACCAATA